GGAATTAGCAACAGGGAATGGATCACTTGATGATTACCTGTTCATTCCCTCTGGGGCACCTGGCATTGACCACTGTCGGAGGACAGGATACTGGGCTAGATGGACCTTTGGTATGACCCAGTATGGCCGTTCTTATGTTCTTATACTAGAAATCCTTTGGATCACTAGAAAGAAAGGTTAATACTTAAACCATGAACATTTGATTTTAACCTGTTTGTAATATAATACAGACGCTCTCCGGGTTACACAAACCCGACTTACGCAAATCCGCATTTACGGAAAGTTCCGTAAGTTCTGTAAGCTTTTTTTTTACTTAATTGTCGGGTATATGTCCCTGACTTATGCAAAATTCGACTTACGCAAGGCGTTCCGGAATGGAATGCTTGCGTAAATCGGGAAGCGTCTATGCACACACGTGCTTTAGGAAAAAAGATAACTGGGGGGGGGGAGTACTTTGTCATCAGGATGTAGTGAAGGTAGACACAGATGAGCAGAGAACTTCTAGCCCATCTACCCAGTTAGTGTGTAGGTGAATCCTGAAATCTGGGTGAGTGTTTATTCAAGTTATAGTTGCTATATTTTAGAGGGGCATGTGTGAATCTTTAAGGTATGTCTACACTTTGAGCTGGGAATATAATTTCCAGCTCGAGGAGACATACCTGAATTAGTTCTGATTGAACTAGTGAACTAGAAATAGTGTAGCCATGGCAGCGGGAGGGGCTAGATGCTCTGAATATGATCCTGTCTGAGACCCTAGACCAGTGGTTTTCAACCTGTGGTCTGTGTACCCCTGCTGATCCACAGACTATGTCTAAGATTTCCAAAAGGGTCCACATCTCCATTTGAAATTTTTAGGGGTCTGCAAATGAAAAAAGGTTGAAAACCACTGCCCTAGACACATACTCCAGATGACTAACTCCTCCCACTGCTAGTGCCACCACAGCTACACTCTGTTTTAGTGCAGGTATGTCTCCTTGAACTGAGAATTGCATCCCCAGTTCAAAGTGTAGACATACTCTTTAACTGCCAGATTCCCCTTTTCTTTCAATCTGACATAAATGCAATTCAGTGCCAGCATCTTTAAAAGTTACTTACAACCACATAACTACTATTCAGACATACACTGCATTCCTGGGGAGAGAGTGGCTATGGGAAAATGATGTTGCATTCAATATGTTCTAGATAGGGACTAGTTTCCCCTCAAAGGGAGCAGCCTTTGAAACCTTTGAGTAAGCAGCAACGGGGGAGCTCATTTCAGCTGGGTTAGGTCCTAATGTGGCTACCCCCAGATCCATTTTAGTGCCCAGGGCGAACAAGCATATTTGCACCTGTCATAACTATAAAGGGAAGGGTAACAGCTGTCCTGTGTACAGTACTATAAAATCCCTCCTGGCCAGAGACTCCAAAATCCTTTTCCCTGTAAAGGGTTAAGAAGCTCAGGTAACCTGGCTGGCATCTGACCCAAAGGACCAATAAGGGGACAAGATACTTTCAAATCTTGGGGGTGGGGAAGGCTTTTGTTGTGCTCTTTGTTTGGGAAGTTGTTCACTCTTGGGACTGAGAGGGACCAGACATCAGTCCAGGTTCTCCACATCTTTCTAAACAAGTCTCTCATATTTCCAACTTGTAAGTAAACAGCCAGGCAAGGCGTGTTAGTTTTACTTTGTTTTCTCAACTTGTAAATGTACCTTTTACTAGAGTGTTTATCTCTGCTTGCTGTACTTTGAACCTGAGGCTAGAGGGGGGTCCTCTGAGCTCTTTAAGTTTGATTACCCTGTAAACTTATTTTCCATACTGATTTTACAGAGATGATTTTTACCTTTTTTCTTTAATTAAAAGTCTTCTTTTTAAGAACCTGATTGATTTTTTCCTTGTTTTTAGATCCAAGGGGGTTGGATCTGTATTCACCAGGAGTTGGTGGAAGGAAGGATGGGGGATGGTTAATTTCTCCTTGTTTTAAGATCCAAGGGGGTTGGAACTGTATTCACCAGGAGTTGGTGGAAGGAAGGAGGGGGGATGGTTCATTTCTCCCTGCTTTAAGATCCAAGGGGTTTGGATCTGTATTCACCAGGGAATTGGTGAAGAGTTTCTCAAGGCTTCCCAGGGAAGGGAATCCACTTGGGAATGGTGGCAGCGGACCAGATCTAAGCTGGTAGTTAAGCTTAGACGTTTTCATGCAGGCCCCCACATTTGTACCCTAAAGTTCAGAGTGGGGAAGCAGCCTTGACAGCACCCATGCCATTTTTTGGGGGTTATTTTTCCACCCCATTCAGAGGTAACATGTAACTATTCATAATGGGGTGTGGAGCAGGTGACCACCCCATAGAGGTTTTCAAACTGTGAGGCGCACACCCCAGGGGTTGTGGAGGAACATTCTGGGGGGAGAGTGGCGTTGCCAGGTGGCTTGGTTCGGCGATGCCAGACGGGGTCAGAGAGGGAACACCACCTCCACCCCTGACTCACCTCAACAGGCCACCCAGCCTGTGTGGGTTGGGGGCGCCTCTGGCCCCATCTTTCCATCCCAATGGCTTTGCACCCTGGGCAGCTACCCCACTTGCACCATCCTGATTACGGCCCTGGCTACTTCTTTATTGTATTCCTAGAACAGAAACAAAATGGTGGCACATAAAGGAATAGGGCAACACACTAACTAGCGTGCTCTCCAATATTCTTATTCCTCAAAAGTGTTCTCTATTCTTTTGATTTTTTTAATGGACAGCAACAAATAATTTGGGTAATTCTCTTCCAAACAATGTGTTTAGTTACAAAAGAATCATAGTGAAAGATGTTCTAGTTTGGGCCCATGTGGTCCAGCTAGATAATTAGCCTTCTAATTCACCTCCTACCACAGAATCTAAGGTTACATCTACACTACGGGGGGGGGGGTTCGATTTAAGATACGCAAATTCAGCTACGCGAATAGCGTAGCTGAATTCGATGTATCGCAGCCGACTTACCCCGCTGTAGGGACGGCGGCAAAATCGACCTCTGCGGCTTCCTGTCAACGGCGCTTACTCCCACCTCCACTGGTGGAGTAAGAGCGTCGATTCAGGGGATTGATTGTCGCGTCCCGTTGGGACGCGATAAATCGATCCCCGAGAGGTCGATTTCTACCCGCCGATTCAGGCGGGTAGTGTAGACCCAGCATAAGTGTTTTTCCCCATGTGTAACTTTTATGGGTGCAAAGTAAACATGAACAGAGTGTAAACTGTTTCACTGTTGTCTCCTGAATCTGCAGTCAGCCTGAAATGATACTTCTGAGAACACTGTAACTGTCCCATTCATCTGAATGGGTAGTTTCTAAAAACAAATGATGAAACCGTTCAAATAGTTACCTATTTCACTGCTGATCATTTTAGCGGACATCCAGTTAATGTGCTTATTCCACAATCTTAAACCACCTCAGCCCTTCCTCAGTGCCAAAAGCTCCAAATATTTCCTATTTAGCTCCACAGGCATAGTTTGACTTCTATATTTAGGGGGGCAGCTCCAGTCAGGCCAATGGGGCTTCGTGTGTGTGGGGTGGGGTGGGGGGGAATTTGTGCCTGCCAGACGGTTTTGGGGGGGCAATGCTTCCGTCTCCCCAACCATGCCCATGCTTAGCTCTCAAATCTCTAGTTTCCTCTGACTACTCCAACGTAAATATTCATTGCCAATACAAAAATTTAAAATACTAGACTATTGTAAAATTAAACTTAACAATATAAACAAAACAGGGGCTACTGTACTGATTGTATTATTTTTTGTGTCTCATTTACTAAACTCCGTTTTCATATTTATTTGAAGCTGCCTCTGAATTTGCAGTTTGCCATGCCAGGGACTCTCAGTGAAAGCCAGCTGAGATCTGGGCAGGAGGGTGGAGAGAGATTGGGGAGAGGACTGCCTGCCCCTCTGAGGGGGGTCTGACATCCCTCCTCCCAATTCTGTATTTCCTGGTTTTCAAAAGTTTGATATGAAACTTACTCTTCATTTCCTGGTTTTTACTAAGTTTGAGTTTTGTTGGTTTGAATTTGATATTCTGGAAGAGCAGGCAACCTTAATTCTGCAATAACAATTTTTTTTGGGGGGGGGGGCTTTCAGGTTGGCCTGGGTTATACTATTTTGCAGTAACAAGCATATCCAAATAACAAAGAGTGTAAGGATGTTGCTTGACATACTTTATAATATATTTACTTTTAAAGAGATGCATATGGGCAGTGTTCAAAACCAATTTCTCTGTAACCCCAATGGGAGTTACATAACTAAAAACCCTGCATAATATTTTTTAAACATTTCTATCTATATACAAAAATGAGGTAGTACAAGTACTGTTTGATATGGCTGTTGCTAATTTTTCTTGAATATCAGAGAAAAGAAGGTAAAATATATAGGTACAGGAAATTTCAGCTTTCCTGAGGATGTAGTAACTAAAAATATATCCATAAACACATGCAATTCCTTATCTCAGAGGTAGAAGCAGTAGTTTGACTCCCCATCCCCTCTGAGGTTTTGATTCTTTAAAAAATATATAATGATGATGATGAAGGCCTTCCTATAATTTAAATTAATTGTGAAAAATATATTTTACTCAGCTGCTGGCCTACTTTTTTTTTAATTTGAACTGAAATTTGCATACTAATTTCTAAAACCATGGAAAGACAAAGAGAGGCCCATGAAAGAAACAGGCCTATCAGATAAACAAAACTATTTAAAATACAATAGTTTATATTTTTGTTGACAATACACTAGCTAAAATCTGACTGTGTGCTGAATTGTACTTTATTGATCGTCTTAATCTGTCTCAGCTGAACATACTGTTTAAATTTAGCAAGCTAAATTAAGATGGAAACAATTTGAAATACATTTATCTAGAGATTGTTGCTATCAAGGTTTTGATATGTTAAAGGAGTTGGGATTTTTGAAAACTGAAAAAAATCAATATTTGTTCTCATCTTTGATTACTCTACAATGTTGTGCTGAACTAGAGAATGAAGTGTGGTTTGAACTATATTCTTTTCTAGCCTGGCTGTACACCCAGATAAAACCTTAGTTGCTACAGGACAGGTTGGGAAGGACCCTTACATTTGCATCTGGAATTCCTACAGTGTACTGACTCTTTCTGTTCTTAAGGATGCGCATACGCATGGAGTTGCCTGCTTGGCTTTTGATTCAGATGGCCAGGTTTGTATATTTTCAGTTTCTCTTTTTCTTCTATTTAAGTTTACACATAGAAGTAAATTTTTATATATGTAGCCTGCATATAGAATTATAGCATTACATCAGCACTGAATACTAATACAGGATCCAAAATACTGCAAATCTCTCTCTTTTTTAAAAAGAAATGCTTTTGGGGCCAAGACCTCAGCCTAGCACTCCAGGTAGTTGTGTGGGACACTGGGCAGATGGTAGACATAGCCCTCCATGGCCCAAATGCAGCCCTATCTCCTGAAGAGTTAGTACTGGAGGAACTGCATAGTGATTGTTTGGTCTTCAGAACCAGCCAGTGTTCACCTGAGCCTACTGTTCAGAGAGCTTCTACAGTATATTGATATACACTGTGTCCCCCCAGTCTTGTCCCTCCTTGGGCAGCAGAACTGCATTGGTCTCACTGTTAAGGGATTCTCACCAGCTGTAATGCATAGTAAATTTAATTTAATAAAGTGTTTGAAATAGAAAAACTGTATGGCTTTGGAGCTTAGCATTGGAATCCTTCAAAAAACAAACAAACAGAAGATCACTCACAAAAATCTCTGAGAATCAGAGTGTTTTGACCATATGATTAACTAGATATTTTAAGAAAGATGGAAGTCAAATATAAATGGAGAAATGGATTTTTCTTTATTAGTCACAATAAGTAAATTTCTAGAAGAAAAAGTAATGGTAAACCACAAGGACTTTAACATAGTGTCAAAGGAATGCATATTTGTGCTTCAGACAGAGACCTGAGCAAATTATTCCGAACAGTTCATCCCTACAGAAAGATTACCTGTGTAATATTGTACTATCAATGTCTGGAGTATTCCACTGTGTAAATTTTTGTCACACCTTAAAATTCCTACCCTATGTTAGTTTTAAGGACCTTTATGGGTGCCTAAATCCTTCTAGAGGCCATCTGCACTAGAGTACATTTCACCTTGTGCAGTCTTCCCCATTAACTCAAAGTTTAATCCCATCAGAGAGAGAATTGAATTTGCATATTTTTAAAAAATAATCAGTCAGCTATATTTGGTTTGTGTTGCACAATCAGATACACAGATATGCTCCCACTGACATCACTGAGCGTTGGATTGTCTGTATCTGAGGGCAGAATTGGACCATGATGTTTTAAAAGAATAGTCTCATATGGAGCAAAACTACCTTTACTTTTTAATGTAAATTAACATCCTTTCACTCAGTTTAAAATTTAATTTGAAAGGAAGGACACTGCCAGAAGCAACTTCCCTTTAACATATCTTATTTGTAATAGTACATTACTTTAGTCTTAAATTAATAAATGTGAGTGTTAATTTTGCTACCTAGTAACATAGAAAGATTTGTGAAATGGTTAATAGACATGAGAGGAATGAGGAATTTTAGGAAATTTCAAGGGTCACGGGTGTTAAACCAATTCAATGACTAAGTTTTTCCTTCCTTCTCTATAAAGGTAATAACACTCAGTACATATATAGGATTGTAATAATAATAGTTATCACGTAGTGCTTTACATTGCGCAGCATCAACTAATTAACATTATTATAGGTTGCTGCTCCAGATTTAAGCTTGCTTTCTATTTCAAGCCCAATTTTCAACTCTCTTCCCCCAACTTCCTAAAAAAGGAAACCAGTCCCTCTAAAATTTCATACACCATATCTCATCCCCAGTGTACAGTCTTTCTGGGAAGACTGGGAAAAAATGGGGAAGGGAGTTATAATGTTATTGTGTCCCAAAATCTCCTAACTTTCTTGTGTCCTCCTATCTTCAAAATGACTGGGAGACAGATTGTTAAAGGTAGTTTAGTGCTTAAAGATGCAGATAGGCATTTAGTTGGAATTTTAAAAGTGCCTAAGACCACTAAGTGCTTTTGAAAATCCTACTATGTGCCTATCTGAATCTTTAGGCATCTAAATACCGTTCAAATTTTGGCCCCTTACCCTACAGATTCCAAATTTGTTGACCTTGCATAACAGTGTTCTAGACATGCAGTGGGAGCAGGGGTTGGGGTTGAGGTTGGGTTTTAGTGTGGGAATTCCAAAGATATAAAGAATTATTTTTACGAACATGATATAAACTGACCAGATGCTGAGTATAAGCTTTGCAGCTTTAGTTGTGGGGCTGAGCCAGAACTGGAGGGCATGGATTTGAGGGAGAGGAGACCAGGAGGGACATGGACTCATGGAAACCAGGTACCTGGAGCTTATAGCTGTCAACAGTTCCATTTTGGCCAAGACACTTCTAGGTTCTGAACACCATTGTGGGAAATGTGTGTCCTGTTCTGGGACTAGACAGATTCCGCCTACATATGTATTACTCACTTCCTTCAAATGCACTCCTCATCCTTATACACTGAATGCATTTTAAAATTGAAAAACCAGTAAATATCTTGGGCTGAAAAGGGAGAATAAGGTTGTCTATGTGTTCATAGAATCATAGAATATTAGGGTTAGAAGAGACCTCAGGAGGTCATCTAGTCCAATCCCCTGCTCAAAGCAGGACCAACACCAACTAAATCATCCCAGCCAAGGCTTTGTCAAGCCAGGCCTTAAAAACCTCCAAGGATGGAGATTCCACCACCTCCCTAGGTAACCCATTCCAGTGCTTCACCCGCCCCGCCCCCCAGTGAAATAGTGTTTCCTAATATCCAACCTAGACCTCCCCCGCTGCAACTTAAGACCATTGTTTCTTATTCTGTCTTCTGCCACCACCGAGAACAGCCTAGCTCTATCCTCTTTGGAACCCCCCTTCAGGTAGTTGAAGGCTGCTATCAAATCCCCCCTCATTCTTCTCTTCTACAGACTAAATAAGCCCAGTTCCCTCAGCCTCTCTTCGTAAGCCATGTGCTCCAGCCCCCTAATCATTTCTGTTGCCCTCTACTGGACTCTCTCCAATTTGTCCACAGTAATTTGGTATTACTATACTTTATCATCGGTAAAACATACAAAAGATCAATCTGCAGTTTAAATCAGGAAATATTTTATGTACACATTTTTATTTATGTATACTTAATAAGATGCCGAGTTTCAGAGACAAATATATTTAGTTAGGCTTGGGAGAATTTGGGTTTTTTATAATTTTGATGGATAATAATTTTTTTAAAGTATTTTTATACTTTTATTTATTTTCACATTTGCACAAAATTATGGGTTTTAAGCAATTTTTTTTATTTTTATGGAGATACATTTTCACAGTTGTGAGAAATAATGGGGAAAGACAGATAATTATTTAATTACAATAATCATTGAGATTCAAACAGTTCAAGTGTTATAACCATTAAAACACAACATGTCATCATAATGTCAAAATATACATAGAAAGTATGCTTAGATCACACTCTAATAGGTTCTCAAGTACTGTTTTTCTTATTTTTCCTATCTGAAAATTCCAATGATTATTGGTGGATATATTTTTCATCAGTTTTTGGGTGGTGAACAGTGAAATCAACGTTTATAGACATTTACAGATAAAAATCTAATCCTTCCCAGCCTGTATTTAGTATAAACTTGCTATTCAAATTTTTTATAATTAAAAACTAAAGTAAAATACATCCTGAATATCCAGCACACCAGTCTGAGCTGCTGCCACTTAAGAATTTTTTCCTGTTTGATTGAAAAAATGTTACTTCCTTTATCAGATTTTATGGCCTAGATAGTTTACAAATTTTTAAAGAAAAGAGCTGTCAATTTGCATATAGATGAAGATATGTTTTGTTGAAGCTACATTTTTTATATTTTGCATCTTCAGAATTTTTTCATAGCTACCGTAAAATTAATGAGGAAACAATTTACTTGAATCAGGAACTAACTATGACCCATATTACAAGCTGTTCTGCGCTGAAGTCAGTAGGCTTCTCAAAAGTGCTGGGTTCTACCTGTTATGGAACAGCCTGCAGATTCAGAGCTGATATTTTTACATATTTAAACATAGTTCAAACATGCATAGGGTTGCCACCTGTCTGGGTTTTACCCGGACAGACCAGTTTTTGGCTTCTGTGTCTGGGTGCCATTTAGGGTTGCCAGGTGCCTGGTTTGCAACTGGAAAGTCCAATAGAAAAGAGGACTTGACAGTGTCCGGTCAGATGTGGTGACCAAACACCAGCCCTTGCTTATCCAGTGTTGTCTCCTACCTGCAGGTAGGCTTCTTGCAGCAGCTCCCATCCCAGCCCTGGAGCAGAGGGAGCCCAGTGTGGGGAGGCGGGGAAGGAGGTGGAGACAATCCAGCAAGTGATGGGGTGGGGGAAAGAGAAAGTGACTGGGGCGGGGCTTTGAGGGTAATAGGCGGAGCAGGGGCAGGGCCTGGGGGAAAGGGGTGGGGACGGAGCTAAGAGGAAGGGGCAGGATGGGGGCAGGGCTGTCGGGGAAGGGCCAGGGGGAGGCCTCAGGGGTTCAATTCCCAGTAATTAGAAAGTTGGCAACCCTAAATGTGCACTACAATTGACCATTTTTGTGTTTCAAGTAATAGGACTGCCAAAAAGTTATTTTAGACACTTTTTCTTTCTTTACACTTAATTCCAAAATAAATTAGTTTTATTTTTGTTACTAAGAGTATAAAGATGTTAAAATTGAGTTCAGCCTTTGTGCCACAATTTTATATAAGCAGCTGGAGTTCCTACCCTGCTGCTAATAAAACATATAGTGCAGGGGTAGGCAACCTATGGCACGTGCGCCGAAGGCGGCACGTGAGCTGATTTTCAGTGGCACTCACACTGCCCGGGTCCTGGCTACTGGTCCGGGGGGCTCTGCATTTTAATTTAATTTTAAAAGAAGATTCTTAAACATTTTAAAAACCTTATTTACTTTACATACAACCATAGTTTAGTTATATATTATAGACTTATAGAAAGAGACCTTCTAAAAATGTTAAAATGTATTACTGGCATGTGGAACCTTAAATTGGAGTGAATAAATGAAGACTCGGCACACCACTTCTGAAAGGTTGCCGACCCCTGATATAGTGTATGCATAGTCCAAATTTAACCCCTTTCTGGTAATTCAGATAACGCTAACATAAATCTCAAACTATTCTTTATCCCCAAATTGCATGTTCCTAGGCTTTTCCTGAAGAACTGCCTTATCCCAGAGTTTCATACCCTCTTCATTGAAGGGATGCTTCAATTCCTTTTATCTTGGTTGGGATTTAATTCTTCTTAGCGTATGTGCAATGTGCCTCAGGTGGCACGTGACTAGGGCTAGTCTACGCTACGGGGGGGGGGGGTCGACCTAAGATACGCAACTTCAGCTACGCGAATAGCGTAGCTGAAATTGCGTATTTTAGGTCGACTTACCTGGCTGTGAGGACCGCGGCGAGTCGACCGCTGCCGCTCCCCCGCCGACTCCACTTCCGCCTCTCGCTGCGGTGGAGTTCCGGAGTCGACGGCAGAGCGATCAGGGATTGATTTTATCGCGTCTACACTAGACGCGATAAATCGATCCCCGATAGATCGATCGCTATCCGCTGATCCGGCAGGTAGTGAAGACGTGCCCTAGGATTCATCACTGAATTTGGCCGCTGGTTGGATCATTAGTATCCCTAGCTTGGGCTAGGTACTGACTGGGATTGTGACATGAACACTGATCCATGGCCCCTGGGATTTAATTTAATCCACCTGTTGCTATAATTGAGTAGTGATTCAGCATCATCACACATTGTTACTCTCTCAACATACACACACACATACGAGAAATTACAGTAAGTCAGATTTACTTATTTGCAAGTTCATTACTCTGCACAAACCAGGAAAAATATAGATGCATTTGGCAGCCAGCAGAGGAAAATAATTTTAGTTGTTCACCAGAACTATTCCCTATTGCTTTGGGCATGCACTATTCCCTAGATAGGACCAGTGATACTAAGAGATGACACGTGGTGTGTCACATCCCAAGAAGCCAAAGGTAGAGATGCATTTCAGTGTTGTTAAATAAAAGAATGGTGACTATAAAGTGCTTAGGTGCATTTTTGTTTACTTTTCTGAATCCAGGAATTTCTTTCATTTTCTGGGATCTATAGTTGGGGAGAAAACAGGACAGGGAGGGTTTGAGGGGGATGCACATGGTCACCTCCCACAAGGCCTATGAGTAATCTAGCATTAAGTTATAGCAATATGAAGCTATATTAACTTTGCCTTATTGCCCTCCATGCCATGAAATGCCTTCTGATGGAAGCATAGAGGACAGTTCCTGGCTCAGTGTTCCCTGATTGTGTGGAGAGGATAGCCAAGCATGGAGGCACATGGCCTTGTATTTCTGCAAATCCCCATGAGTTGGTGCCTTTTTTTGCTCTTTTGCCTGGTATAGCAGTACCGGTGATATCAACAGTGGGAAATGTGAAGAAAATAATCTTTTGCAGACAAGGTACTTGCCACTAATAGAGACAGGATACTGAACCAGATGAACCACTGGTGTTATACAACAGGACAATTTTTATGTTCCTGCATCCTCCTAAGGATCTGTGAAATTAGACAAAATTTGAAGAGACTTAGATGTTAATTTATATCTTAAACATCTCTTCTTCATCCTGTTTGTTTATAGCCATAGCCTCGACAAAAAGGGATTCTTGTTTCTTAGGAGAGGGGAGTTCATTTATTTGTATTAAGCTTTTAAAATAACTAGTTATGCATTCTTTCAAAAACAAAATTGAAAATTAAAGGGTAAATTACAGTTATAAAATGCTACTAGAAAAGTCCACAAAAATGAGCACCATAAACATAATGAAATGTGGTGGTGTGGGTGGTGGGAGAGGAGTGTTTTAATCCCCCATTTACTTTTAATAACAGTTCAGTAAGATGTGAATGCCAGATTGTTGTGTTACTGAAGCAAGCTCTTCAGATCTTCTGATGAATTTAACCTATGTTTGGTACACTTAAAAGTCAAGTCATTAATGTCAAGCTTCTAGAAAAGACTAGAATTTTTGGCATGTTCTAATATTAAACAAATATTTAACATGGATATCTTGATGGTATCTTTAGCAATTTAGTTTTAATTTGAGTCATATTTGGAGAAATCCTTCTGTACACATACAATGCTTACTTGAAAGACTTATTTTGGGCTGATCTTCAATTAACTAGATTATTTTTTTCCCTTAGTGTTTAGCCTCAGTGGGACTGGATGCCAAAAATACAGTATGTATTTGGGATTGGAAGAAAGGAAAACTACTAGCAACAGCTACTGGCCATTCAGATAGGGTAATCATATAGAAGGAATTATCTGAATTTTGTCCGGTTTCTCGATAACATGTAACATTTTTGTTTCTATATTGTATTATTTTTTCATTTGGTTAGTCCACAGAAAGATCCATCAGGTGGATCTGAGTGGAGAATATTGCCCAAAGCTGGGAAATGTCAAAGCGATTTCACCACCAGTCAAAAAAACACACACATAAACATACACATATATGAAGATAAATTAATCTTTTCATTGTGCATATATATTTTACTATGCATGGTATATCTGTGAATATTTCACATGATAGAATATACATAAATAGTGGCAGCAAAACAAAACAATACTGTGTTTGTGAGTTGGGTGAATTCAGTGCTTCACTGTTGTGTACTATATTTCTAACACATCAAGATTAATATTTTTATTCGCTTTTCAAAATTACTTTTTTAGGGTCCGATGCAACTCCCATTGATGTCTGTGGAAGTTTTGCTACTGACTTCAATGGGAGCCATTTCAGGCTCTGTTTCTCTAAGCCAGGGGCAGGCAAACTTTGTGGCCTGAGGGCCGCATCGGGTTTCATAAATTGTATGGAGGGCTGGTTAGGGGAGGGGGTCGTGGCCCGGCCCCCACCTCCTATCTGCCCCCCCCCGGACTCCTGCCCCATCCAACCCCCCCCTGTTCTCCGATGGCACCTGGGACCCCTGCCCCATCCACACACCCCCGCTCCCTATCCCCTGACTGCCCCTGGGCCCCCACTGCCCCATCCAACCCCTCCTCTCATTCCTCGAAGCCCCCCCCCGGGACCCCTGCCCCATCCAACCCCTCCTCTCATTCCTGAAGGCCCCCCTGGGACTCCTGCCCCATCCAACCACCCCTTCTTCCTGTCCCCTGACTGCCCCCGGAACCCCTGCCCCTGACTGCCCCCTGCTGCCCCATCCAACACCCCCATGCTTCCTGACTGCCCCCTGGACCCCTGTCCCCATTCAACCCCATTTCCCCCCCGACCACCATCCACACCCCCACCCCCTGACCACCACCCCGAACTCCCCTGCCCTCTATCCAACCCCCCTGCTCCCTCCCCCCTTACCGCACTGCCTGGAGCACCAGTGGCTGGCAGCGCTACAGCCGCGCCACCTGGCTGGAGCCGGGCCATGCTGCCGCTGCTGCCGCCACCTAGCGTGACCAGATGTCCCGATAAAATCAGGACCGTCCCCATATCTCGGTGATTGTCCTGTGTCCCGACTGATCTTGTCCCGATATCCGTCAGCACTGTGTTTTTGTTTTTTTTTTGCTCAGCCGGCAGGACCCGGTTGTTTTTTTGCTGGTGGGCACCACCCCCATGTGTCCCGATATTTTCTTCCCCTCATCTGGTCACCCTACCGCCACCACGCAGCACAGAGCACTGGGTCAGGCCGAGATCTGCAGCTGCACTGCCCCAGGAGCTCACAGCCCTGCCACCCAGAGCATTGCACCGGCGGCAGAGTGAGTGAGTTGAGTGAGGCGAGGGGGAACAGTGGGGGAGGGGCCGGTGGTGAGCCTCCTGGGCCAAGAGCTCAGGGGCTGGGCAGGACAGTCCCGCGGGCGGGATTTGGCCCACGGGGTGTAGTTTGCCCATCCCTGCTCTAAGCCATGATTGAAGTGTTTCAAGGCTTAGCCCTTCAAGCCCTCCCCACAGCGAAAGCAAAAGGGTGTTCAGCAGGGGATTGTCTAATCTGATCCTAAATTCTAGTGGTTGAATGTTTTTGTTCTTCTTCGAGATGTGTTGCTCATGTCCATTCAACTTAGGTGTGTGTGCTCGTCACATGCACCAATGCCGGAAGCTTTTCCCTCAGCAGTATCTGTAGGGGACTGGCTCTGGCGCCACCTGGAGTGTCGCGTGCATGCTGTGGTATACAGGGTGCCACCAGTTCCCCCCAACCTCAGTTCCTTCTTGCTGCCAGTGACAGTGCTGGAACTGTTGCTGCTTCAGCTCATGCTGTTGCTGTTCGTTCGTACAAACTAGTTATCTCTTGTATTATAGTGTATATTAGTTTTCTGTTAGTGTTTGTAAATCCCTTAGCTATAGTTAGAGACTTGGTAAGTCCCGAATGGGACTTTTCCTTGGGACGGAGCATGCCCCGGTCCCAAGGCTTTGATCTCTGCAAATGGCCTATGCCAACTGGTGAACCACACAGCTGTTGTCTGCGTTGCTTTGGTGAAGGACACATTAGTGAGAAGTGCAAAATTAGCAAGTTCTTCAAGCCAAGGACTAAGAAGGAGCACGATATTTGTTTAAGAGTGCGCCTTATGGAGTCGGCCCTCAACCCAGCACCGGAGCAATGCTCTGACTCAGAGCCGAGTACCATGACCTTGGTACGCAGCGCCCCACTGGGACCATCCACTGGCTGGCACCGGTCCCCATCCCTGGTTCCAACCAAGAAGCTCAAGAAGGTGGGGCGAGGCTGGTCTCCAACCTCCCGCAAGGGAGAGGATAAGACTGGGTGTGAGCAAGGTCCCAGGCTGGGCAACTCTTCACCCATGTTGGGATCTCAGGCCCAAGCTCCGGTGGAGTGATGTAGCCCAACCGGCTCCCGGTCAGCTACCCTGGATAGCGGCAGAGGGCTCTGTCAGCTCCGGGTGCTGTCCATGCCAGAGGCCCTGCAGGTAGCGCAGGAGATCATGTCCCTCCCGGTGCTGCCCACACCGGCTCCTGTGGTTCCCCATTCATGGGGTAAGCCCACGTTTGGACTGCTTTGGTCCCCACCTCAGCAGCACCGTTCCCCGTCATAGGGAATGTCCTGCCAGTGCTCGCCCTCCAGTAGCCGCCACGCATCTGACTGCGAAAGGCAGACGCAGTGCAGCCCCATTCGGTCCCTGGACTTTGGCCTCGGGCAGAGAGGCTTGAGGCACAGCTCGGTGGCCATTGGGTGCAGACCCTTGGAGGGACTTGCCCACTGGCAGAAGTACCGGTCTCGGCACCCGGTATCTCTGAGACCGCGGTACCACTCTAGGGACCCGTCGATGGATCAATGTTACCATTCCTCAGACCGTTGCCGATCCCCTAGGAGGGCATCACCGTGTGCGGGTGCTTCCCGGCACCAGGCCTGTTCTGACTCCGGGTCCTGTTCCTCATACCGGTACCGCTCGTCAAGTGCAGGACGTAGATCACCGACTCCAAGCCGTTGCGGATCTGTCGAGCGCCACCGATCCCTAAGATCCCACTCCACATCAGACTTCAGACGGAGTAACCGGCACTGGTTGCGACAGAGCCACCGTTCCACTCCGTCCTGGTCACCTGGGAGCAACCGCTCAGGATCTAGCCCTGGTTCAGAGAAAGGTTCCCTGACAGTGGAACAAGCTCCGGTACCAGCGATACCAGCTACATTGTTGGCACTGAAACCGGCCCCGGGGCCTCAGGCACAGTGGCCGGCGCCGTGGTACCCATGGAACCCGTGGGTTCACCAGCCCTCCCAGGCTGCCCGCTCGGTGTCCGGAGCCTTGGAGAATCCAGCTGCCTCTCTCTACCACCCTCCTCTGGTGCACGAAACCTCGGGTGCGAGGACCCTGTAGGTCCAAGAGGGAGCAGGGGAAGAAGCCACTGGGCCACCAATGGTTGTGGAGGACCCTACAGCACTGGCATCTTCCTTGTCGTCGCAAGGCAAGGCGGTAACGGGGCCCCCTCCCCCGGTTCCTCCGAATGATGCTAAAGCGCACCAGGAACTAAAGAGGGTCGCTGCCAACCAGAGTCTTCAGGCAGAGGAGCTAGAGGAGCCTTCAGAATCTCTCTTCAATGTCCTCTGCTCCACAGCACCAGCCAGGGTGGCTCTGCTTATTCATGATGGGGTCTCTAAGATCACTAATGCCCTGTGGAAAACTCCCTTCTCCTTGCTACCCATCTCCAAGAGGGCTGAGTGCAAGTACTTTGTGACATCCAAAGGCCACGAGTACCTGTACACCCACCCTGCTCCCAACTTCCTAGTGATAGCAGCTGTTAACCACAGGGAGTGACAAGGTCAACCCAGGGCTACCCCTAAGAACACAGACTCCAAGAGAAATGCTGGGCCTGTATGTTCCTGGCCCTGCCCACAAGTGGTTTAAGCTGCAGCAGCCTGAGGGCCAGGGGAGCCACCCTCACCAGGAGTCTCCCCATAAGAAATCCAGAGGCTACAAGAGGCGTCCTAGCCAACAGCCTTCGCAGGCCTCAGTCGAGCTCAACCCGCAATAAGTAGGTGGGCAAGTGCTCATTTTGAGGGTACGCCCAAGGGCGATCTACTGGTCTGTTCCCAGGATCCTCCCTCCCCTATTTTTTCCAACCACCTTTCTCCTTTCTTCCGTGCATGAGCATCTATAACATCGGACTGATGGATCCTCAGTACGGTGGCGCGGGGTTACACCCTTCAGTTACTTTCTACCCCTGCTTCCCACCTCCCCTCCCCATCCCTCTTCAGGGACCCTTCTCACTAGAGTCTCCTCACACAGGAGATAGAGGAGTTACTGCAGCTATGTGCAGTGGAGGTCATTCCTCCAGAATACAGGAACAAGGGGTTCTATTCCTGCTACTTTTTAATCCCAAATGCCAAGGGTGGTCTACGACCTATCCTGGACCTGTGAAACTTGAACCACTTCCTAGCGAAGCTGAAGTTCCGCATGGTCTCCCTGCTTCCATCATCCCTTCCCTGAATCCGGGAGACTGGTACACTGCCCTTGATCTGAAAGATGCTTACTTTCACATCGCCATCTTCGAGGGACACAGACGCTTCCTCCAGTTTATGGTAGGTCCCAACCACTATCAGTTTGTGGTCCTCCCATTTGATCTAGCGACAGCACTATGGGTATTTACCAAGTGCATGTTGGTGTTGGCCTCGGCCTGTTGGTAAATGACAAAAAATCCATGTTAGTTCTGGTACAGAGTATAGAGTTCATCGGAGCGGTGCTCGACTCGACCTGCGCCAGGGCATTCCTGCCACTGGAGAGATTCAGGGCACTGACAGACCTCATCGCGGAAGTCTCCGCATTTCCCCTAACCATAGCCAGAGTTTGCCTGCGCCTACTAGGTCACATGGCAGTGAGTTGGTTTTGGACGCCTCAGACCTTGGCTGGGGGGCGCACCTCGGCACCCTGCAGACCCAAGGTATGTGGTCCCCAGTGGAAACAATGCTACATATAAACGTCAAAGAACTCAGGGTGGTGCACAGTGCGTGCATGGTCTTCCTACCTCACCTGTTGGGCAAAGTGGTCAGAGTCCTGATGGACAACACACCCTCAATGTTCTGCGTAAACAGACCGGGGAAGTGTGATCCTCAGCACTCTGCCAAGAAGCATTCCGTGTTTGGGACGTTGCATCGACATGGAATCCACCTAGAAGTGTGTCACCTTCCGGTGCCAAGAACATGCTAGCAGATCACCTAAGCAAGGACTTCTCCTCTCACCACGAGTGGGTGCTCCACCCAGAGGTAGCCGACATGATCTTCCAGAGGTGGGGAGCTCCCCAAGTGGATTTGTTTGCCACTAGCAGAACAGGAGGCGCCACAGGTTTTGCTCCAGACGGGGTCTGGGAAAGGGCTCCCTCCCTGATGCCTTCCTCCTGCTGTGGGCAGAAAGCCTGATGTACGTGTTCCCTCTGATTCCACTCATCAGCAAAGTCCTAGCAAAAATCAAGAGAGATAAGGCACAGGTTACCATGATCGCCCCAGCATGGCCTCGCCAGCACTGGTTCGGGATGCTATCGAGCCTGTTGGAGATCCCTCATGCCCGCTGCCGAACCAACCAGACCTGCTGTCACAGGATCATGGTTGACTCTTGCACCCCAACCTCTCGTCCCTCCACCTCATGGCTTGAATGTTGCGTGGCTGAACCCTGAGGAACAGGTCTGTTTGGAAGGGATCCAGAAGGTCCTCCTTGAGAGCAGGAAGCCCTCAACCAGACAGACCTACCTGGCAAAGTGGATGAGGGTCTCCCGCAGGAGGGCCAAATGGGGCATCTCCCCTTTGCATTCTTCGGTGCAGTCAATCTTAAACTACCTGCTTCATTTAAGGAACCAGGGCCTGGCACACTCCTCTGTCAGGGTGCATCTGGCGGCCATTTCCACCTTTCATCCACCTATCCAGGGGCAGATGGTGTTCTCCCATGACATGACGGTGAGGTTCCTCAGAGGACTCAAGAGACTTTTTCCTCAAGTTTGGTCCCCAGTCCCTCAGTGGGATCTCAACTTGGTTCTGTCCAGGTCTTCTACCCTAAGTCCCATGAGACTAGTGAAGAGAGGTGCCTTCAAGCTTTGGATGTAAGAAGGGCCCTGGCTTGCTACCTAGATCGGACAAAGCCTTTCCGTAAGTTGACTCAGCTTTTCATCTCTACAACAGATAGGATGAAGGGCCTCCCAGTGTCCATGCAGAGGATTTCTAACTGGATCACTTCTTGCATTCAGACCTGCTGTGAGTTGGTGGGAGTCCCTCCGCCGCCACTCGACCAGAGCGCAGGTATCTTCGGTGGCCTTCCTGGCACATTTCGAGATGTGAAGTGGTTCTCGGTGCACACATTCACAGCCCACTACGCCATCACTCAGCAGGACAGAGATGATGCTGGGTTCGGCAGAGTGGTGTTGCAATCTACACGTCCATGAACTCCTACCCACCTCCGAGGGGTACTGCTTGGAAGTCACCTAAGTTGAATGGACATGAGCAAGCACTCAAAGAAGAAAAGACAGTTACCTTTTCCGTAACTGGTGTTCTTCAAGATTTGTTACTCATGTCCATTCCTTCCCCACTGTCAGAGTTTCTGGCAAGAAGGAACTGAGGGTGGGGGGAACCAGCAGTGCCCTATATACCATGGCATGTTCAAGCCACTCCAGGGGGTGCCATAGCCGGTCCCCTACAGATAGTGCTGAGGGGAAAACGTCTGGCACCGGTGCATATGGTGAGCACACACACCTAAGTTGAATGGACATGAGCAACACATCTCGAAGAACACCAGTTATGGAAAAGGTAACTGTCTTTTCTAGTGTGAGGGGGTCATAAGGCATTGCTGCAGTCTGTCATTTACATATTTTAAGAAGTATAATACTTAGAAAATACTTCAAAATCACAACTTTCTATAAAGAAGAGTTACACTTTATATTTTGAAAGACAGTGTTGTTTATTATACTAAATGACTGGTTGCATATTTAATATGATAAAATACTTATTAGCTGACTGGAGTAGCTACTGTGCTTTAAATCAAAATGGAGAAATTAGGCAAGGGTGTATGTGTGTGTATATATATATATATATATATATATATATATATATATATATATATAT